TTGTAAGTAGGCAATCTAGCATATTATTCGTGGCACTAATCTCTAATTTACCTCACATTAAAGAAACACTATAGTCCCCAGAACCACTGCAGCTTAATGTAGTTGTTCTGGTGTCTATAGCCTGTCCCTGCATGCCTTATAATGTAAACACGGCGGCACTGCAACTTCTCGCGGTCACTGCCCGCCTTCCTAGTGAAGCTGTCGGATGAGCCGCGCGGCTCGTGCAGCAGCAGGACCGCGCGCAGCTCGAAGAGAGGACCGCGGCCGGCCCCTGGATAAGGTAAGTAACGCTACATAATCTCAGTCCATGTACAGTCCTGTCCAGTCATGCCCATGTTATGTTCTTGTTTTCCTCATGTCTTGTGTACATGTTCTGGGTTCTGCTTTCTATCCTGCTCTGTTCTGTGTTCTCCTAGTTTTGTCTTGTTTTCATGTATGGTGCCTATCTCTAGTCTTGCCTTGCTTCAGTACTGGATACATCCCTGCTGCAGAGCCTCCCTATTCAGCTCCTGGGAGGTCTGCTTAATTACCTGCTCCTAGTTCCTGGGATCCGCATAAGCTGAATCAGGGTTCTGGTATGTGGTGGCACAAACGCTGGTGCTCAACACCAGGGGGCGTGCGGTTACCCTGCACCAGACCCTGCTAACCCACCTCCACACTGTGACTCCTACTCTGAACATCAGGCATATTAGGTCCCGGTCCTCACACCGCCGCCCGGACATTGCCTGGGTCCCGGGCACCGGACTGCAACCCTGACAGAACTGTATTGAGGCTGTATTGTAAGACTGTTTTAATGGTAGCCACACTGGCCTCTTATGCAAGTCCCCATCCAAGAGATACACTCATGTAGACCTTGTTGGGGACAGTGATACAAATTTATATGAATATAAACCAATAATAACAGAGTTGTACAGTGTGACACTTCCATACAGGACATACAATCCCTCCCCTCTGCCTGAGAGATAATTGAGTCAACTACTGTCTTTAACTCATATCTCCAGGCAAAAAAACCCCATAATTTATATACAATCTAAAAGTACCTCCAAAACACTTAGTATCCCCACAGAAAGCATATTTCCTGATAGCCCCGTTCTGGGGGGAAAAAATATAAAAAAATCATCCAGATCGGTTCAGGGGGTTCAGGATTTTGATAGAGGTCGTATTCCTGACCGAGCGCACACGAGGCTCCTGCCCAGAATAAATTCATTGAATCAGTCTGTGCAGCCGGTCTCCTTCAAAAGTACCAAACTAGTGTCTATAGGGAAAATGACTGTTGGTGTATTCTTTCTCATAGTCATAGTGGTTCGTCCATTTCGTACATATAATGCCGAAAATTCGTGATCATGGAAGTCTTATCTGTGTTTGTGCCGTCGAGTGTCGATTCTTGTTCCATGCACTCGATGACACAACACTGCTGGCCGCATTCATATTCCAAGATGGGTGCCGGCACGTGTTCGGGCAAATGAACACCGACCACCCAGTCGACCACTTAGAACGTTGGGATGTTTGTTGTTTTAGAGGTGTTAGAAGGGGTCACTAAGGTTAACAAGTGCCACACTCGGCATTTGGGTGGCCGGTTGTTTGGTAGTTCCTTCGTCAGGTACTTGTACAATGGTGAAATAGGGTAGAACTGTACTTGGTCGAACGGATAGGCGAAAGGGTAATATAAACTTTAAAATTCAGGGACAGAGGGTCTGTCACAACACTGATTAGTAACAATGTTAAAACCACTGGCAGGTGAAATGAATAACAAAGATTATATAATTGTAATGGCACCTGGTGGGATATATTATGCAGCAAATGAACAGTCAGTTTATGAATTTCATGTGTTAGAAACAGGAAAAACTAACAAGTGAAACGATCTGAGTGACTTTGACAAGGGCCAAATAGTGATGGCTAGACGACGGGTCACAGCATCTGCAAAACAACAAGACACCCATGTGCCATAACAATTAATAAAAAATAATGTTTTACATATCTTTTTCCAGGTCAGAGGCTCCCTTGGCACTGCTCACCTCTCTGCATTCGTTTATATAATTGAAGAGAAATGGACACCTACGTGATGGTCCAATCCAACGTTCCTTGTATGAGAGCATTGGGGACCTTATGCATATGCTTTAAATGCTTTCCTATGAACCTCCACATCATGTGACCAAGTTTATCTTGGTTAGCGCTACAGAAGCACCTGCAACCCTGCAATGTAAACATGTTAAGTGGACAGGGCCACTGCACTCATACCCATACATTGAGATGAAGTGGTATGGGTGACTTTAGTGTCCCTTTAACCCCTTAAGGACCAAACTTCTGGAATCAAAGGGAATCATGACATTTCACACATGTCATGTGTCCTTAAGGGGTTAAAGGGGAACGGTTACATCTCTGGGAATTACACCATGGCATAAAACATTGAAAATCACCCTTAAGTTATGTTAATCTTTTTTCTCTTCAAATGTTTTTATTGATGAATTTTCAATAATAACACAATAATACAAAATAAATTACTAATAACTAAAAATAACAGGGGAATAACTGTAACTAACATCATCTGATGCTATATGACACATATACATATACATTTATATACATACATACATATACATATATATATGAAACCAAGAGGGCTGCACTCACCTAAACATGCTGCTGGGGCCAAAATATACAAAATACGGAATCCAGCGCACTCGCATACATACATACATACACAAACAAAGTAATATATTGAACAACTAAAATGTAATGGTTAAGAAAGCCGTGTATAAAAAAAATATTTGAATCAGGTTATAATTTTATATAGTGCTCTTTGGTTGGATGTGGTGTAGATAATACTTATAAGTCAAAACTGCTTTGACGCCCCTTTTGCAACTCATCCAATCTTGTCTCAGCGATTCTAAAAACACAGAAGGAGTACTAAAGGCTAGTTCACAACACTTTGACTCGAATATGCTTCGCACGACCTCTGTCATGGATGGAATGGTGTCAGACTCCCAGTACCTCAATGTTAATATTTGTTCATGTTGCACAAGTTTAGCAAAAGTTACTGACAACCATAGAAGCAAGATCCATGCTAGTAGTTTATACTTTTGTGCCATAGGACATAAAGAAATCTATAAACTAAAATGAAATGTCAGATTTAAAGAAAATCAGCCGGCAGTAGTTACTCGGAAATTACATCCATTGAACATCTATGACAGATGCCATGATAATGCAAGGAATATCATTTAATGATACTTTTATGGAAAATGGAACCAAAGTGGCATGGGTCTGGCCAAGTTTGTGCTTGCCTGAGCGTCAAATGTATGATTCTGCATGGATTCTGTGTTCTGTTTGTTGTTGCATCCATCAGTTCCTAGCATCATCTATTCCTGTTGCTCTTTTTTAAGTTGCTCTATTTCTATTCCTGTTGCTCCATTTTCTCCTGAGAATCATTTTTTTGGTGCATTGCATTACTGTGTACCATGTTCATGTGACTGCGGACTTCCTGGTTTGTTTCTTTCCGAAAATTTGAATTGATGTTCACCTCCTTTTCTCTGCAAATCTCAACTAGTTGAACCTCCTCTCAAAGGTGAATGTCCCAGGAGAACCACCATGCTACAGTCTACTACTCAGATGGTCCTTGACGACAATGACACATTTTTTCCTTAATTAGTCCTTGTTATGTCTAGAAAATCTTCTGATTGGTCTTTTTTTAGCTTTTGTTGGTGTAAGTATATGTATATATATAATATGTTGAAGTATTAGTGCAATAACTGTGTTAATATACTATGCTTTTCTGACATATGCAGCTATTTATCAATTGGGAATAATGGATTTAAGATAAACACGAAAGGTCACAAAGTGCTTTTGTAGCTAATAACAAATTTACTATATGCATCATTCTAGTTCCCAACAGGAAATCCAATAACACTGTTTGACTGATTCATTTGATATGTTAACATTGATCTGACGGAAATTGCATTATAATTACAAGATATATTCTTTCTGATGAATGTATTGGGAGGTAGCAAATATTAAAGGGACACTGTAGTCACTATAAGCATTTCATCTCTTTGAATTGGTTATAGTGCCTGGAGTGCCCTGGCGTTGTCCCTCCATTCAGTGTTGAACCATGTTCGTGCAGTATGCCACAAAATAAGAGTCCCTGGCCACCCACAGTCCGGCCCCTTCAGTATGTGTAGCTAAGGCAGAGGTTGCACACTTCCTTGTTTTCGTACCCATTCATACTGTCAGCTGACACTCTCAGCCAATCACAGCTGCCCATTGCTGCTCAGGCTAATACTTCCTTATTAGCCAAAGCAGCACAGAGGGGATGGATTGCCGGGGACTCTTATTTAGCATTAAAACATTAAAACGTTAAAAACGGTTTAATGCTGGTAGAAATTATGGGACCAGAGGACTACAGACACTATAACCAGTTTAATGAAATGAAGCAGATACAGTGCCTACGGTGTCCCTTTAACAATTTATGCAACTAAAATGTAATTTAGAACAAGAACAATGTATCTTATATAATTTTAAATTTACAGCAATACAACTCATTGTAAGGTGTGGGGTGTATGAATGAATCCCAGAGCTCCACAGCATAATATAACTATTAATAAATACATTAATTAATAAATCATAGAATTCCACAATAATTCAATTAACAATGTACACAGGTTGTATCAATATATCATAGAGCTACACAGCAATACACTCAATGGTATGTGCAATATGTATGAGTGTATTGTAGAGTTCCACAGCAATAAAATCACAGTAATGCATATTGCATATGAAAGAATTACAGAAATCCACAGCAATAAAATTCACAGGAATATGTATTGTGCATGGACATTTCCCAGAATGGCAATAAACTCGCAGGACTGTACAGTGTGTATTATTATTATTCAAATCGCACTTTTGTATTAAACTTTGTAAGATGGCCATTAACTCGCCACTCTCTGCTACTCACTGTTAAGTGAATAAATATGCATAATTTATTTGTTTTTGTAATTTAAAAAAAAAATAAATCAAAACGCCTATATTTAGATTTCTCTTGTGTTTCCTGTAGAACATTGAACTTGTCCTTTCAGAGTAGGCTTTGATCTAACTGCCAAATTTATCTACTTAACGTATATTGTTTATACTGGTAGTTTTTTTTTTTTTATTATTGGCGTTTTTTTGGCTGATTGCTTTCTAACTGCCTAAAGCGTCTCCATAATCTCACTCGTCAGTTCGTCTCTTCCTCTATCTCTCCTTATATGATTTTACATTCTGACATTGTTACCAGAAATCCACTAGCGAGTAGAAATTCACCCTCGATAAGTGTGCCATAGACTCAGATTTGCAGTTGCAAGTAACGTTTAGGCCTGGTTAGTAATGTAGGACTTTTGTAATGTAAACATTGTGATCCCTGTTGATCACTAATGACAGGTTTCTCACGGTTTCCTCAAAAGTCAGGTTGAAATTATCAACTTGAAAACAGTACCAATTTTATTAATATGTTTCAGTGTATTTGGACAGAGGCATCATTTTAGCCAGTGAATCTGCTATAATGAGTCTAAACCATAGAAAAAAAAGGCAATCTTGCACAGTCAGACACACTCCATCTTCTCTCCTTCTGGGATTAATGGACATAATACATCAACAATCTATGCCGCTGATGTTGAGAGCAGCCTTGAACGGACCCCTCGCTCATCTTCGTCCTCTTTGAAAAACCTATCAGGATTTGATACCAAACCTTTTAGCCACAGTCTCTGCTCCTGGACAAAAAGTCATGAAATTCCCACTGGACCTTCGCAAGGCTTATTGGTTTAACTTGCTGTATGCATAGACATAAAAGGTGGGGTATATCATTTCCCCCTTTCCCGAGGGTAATTTTGATTAACCGCCCTGTGGGTTAATCCTTTTGGAGGGTTTAATTCAAATTAAAATTCGACAGGTGTTTTAATACATTTACCAACAATGCAAAGAAAAGCAATGAAGTACATGAGCAGGATTTGGACTTTGCAGCATTTACAAATATATTCATTTGAATTAAGTCTTCATTCACGCAGTCGAAATTGTGGATAAAGATCCCTTTGGGCGAACTTGTGGTGACACTCAACATAATGCCTGTTCTGAGTCTGTGAGCCCATGGAACAAAGACCCACTTATTGCAGCATTGCTAATCTACTCAGGCTAAACACAATAGACGAATTCATCAAATGTATACATTTTAACCTATATTCCTCTAGGGCTCGTACCTTGCCACTTCAATTGCCCCTGCTTGCTTTTGTTCTTAGAAAATCTAGTTATTTTGTCATCTACAAAGTGACCATGGTCCTTGGCATATACTTAATTTTTTAAATAACTTATTAAGAAAGTGAGAAATGCATTAGTCTAATAAATACTGATAAATACTCAAACAACTTTTAGTGAATGTGTAAATAGTTAATGGTGCCAAATGCAATACTTTTTTTGGACAGTAAACAGTTACTAGACACAAGTGCAAAATAACCTAGAGAAAATTAAATTGGTAAAATGTTGTCACAGCCCCTGGTGCTTTTATCGGCGTGGCCACGCCTAATCACTGCTGTCACGCCAATACAGTTACTGCACACGGTGAGCGTGGCTGCATCTATTGAAAGCGGTTGTGCCGAATTGGGAAATTATTACTTACCTGGATCGCGGTGGATTGCTGCCCGATCCTCTTCCCAGCTGGTGTTGAGTTCTAAGGGACGCCAGCCACTGCGGTCCAGAACTATATAATTGTGTTCCTATTGCCCATAACAAATAAGGTGCAAATGTGTGTGTGACTTTGGCTTGTATTTGACTTAACCTATTTCTGGTATCCCTGACTTTTGGCTGGTATTACATTTGTGTCTACTTCTGTATTCCTGACCGTGTTGTGTTTATTAACCTTTGTCTTGTACGTTAAGTCCGGCCATTCAAAAATAATACCTTATTATTTTCACAGTTCTGCGTGTTGGGTCATACAGTAGTCATGACAAATGTTCCTTTTTAGAATTACTTAATTAAATTTTTTATTACCGACATAGGGTCGTCTTGATGTGAGACCTGTGTGGTCACAGCGGGCACACACATTTTGAGAGTGTGCAGCTGCATGACCCTTTCAGATTACCCTGTCTGAGAGTGACATTTAAGTTACTGTTGTAACAGTATGACCAATATGTGCGCCCCGTGCCCACAAAGGATGTGACAAGCACAGACCAGCATGAGTGAAGCTGAGAGATGGGACACATACTATGTTTCTGCCCTCTTTGAACACACTGAACTGGGGTTTCTATAATGAAGAAGGTGGACAATGAGGACCAGCATGACACAGATAGTGAGAGACACATTGAGGGGTAGAGAGACACACTAGAGCGGCATGCACATGGCCATGAAGATGGGCACTGGAGAGCACAGAGATGAACTCACATGGGGGGGCTTAAAGTAAACACACAAGAAGGGCATTGAAAGGAGGATACAAGAAGGGCATGGAGAGGCAGACACATGGAGACTTGAAGAGGGGGATAGAAGAGGAGTTGGGGAAGATGGAGACATAAAGTGGAGGGCAATGAGAGGGGGACACACTATGGGGGAAGGTAGAGAGATACACAAGACAAGATCGAGAGTGATACACACAAGGGGGCACACTGTGGCTTCTGTTTGCTTGTTTGGCAGTTTAAGGTCCACTCCTGTGTTTCTCACAGGGCTTCTGAAGGCCTAAGGCTGCTCTCTACTCACCTTACATGGATGGAGTGAATAAAATGTGCCTGAAACCATGGCTGTGAGCTGTATATGCGAATAAATACATAAAAAAACACATCCCATTCTGGCAGAACTAGATAAAATAGATTAACAAAGAAAATGCACTGAAAAGCAGAGGGTCTAGCTATCTCAGTTCAACCAGGATTTAACAAGTGATACCTTTTCACATGACCTCACACACAGGCCAAGCATATTGCTTCTGATTCCTGATTATGCAGGAAGGTCAGGGATCTATTCAGACTGAAATGTAAATGAAGGCATCAAATTCAATAGGCTTTCTATATCACGTAGATCATTTCTGCTGACAGATTTCACTTTCCCTATGGTTTCCTGTTACATAAATCAGAATTTCAAATCTTGCAGGAACAATATATCCGTAGTATACATACATTCATATACACGTTTTGAAGATATTTATATACACAGTTGCTCATAGTGATGATACTTTCTTGGCTGACCGGGAATATCTAGCATTCCTGCTAATGTTTATGAGAGTACTAGAAGACCAGGAACCTGAGTTGGGACACAGGAGTAACAATGACACCAAGTGGAAGCCTGGAGTATTTCATCTTAATTTGGACTTGTCTGAAATTAAAAAAACAGAAGGGTTTAGCTCTTTCTGTATTGGTATCATTCTTATATCATTACCATAGCATTTCAAGCGTTTCATATTATTGTAGTTTCTACCTGTTACTAGTCTTAAGCTGCTATGAAATCATCTAAGTTAGAGATAGTTGAAATAATGTGATGCAATATAACAAGTATAGTTATTACAATAATTTTTATTCGTTTTAAAAAGCATATTATTTAATAACTAAAATGCCAATAATGAGTAACTTGCAAAGTTACAGATACCTCTTTATTATCATAGTTGAGTGTAAATACAACGCATTTCACTCAGTTCTTTAGTATACACTAGAAAGATTCTGTGAAGACAGTCATGGAAGCTGTGCTCTAACTAGAGAAATTGTAAATATAGAAAGCTAATTTAATGGGCCCTGCCACAATAAATACTCTCTAAATTACAGCCATGAAGGAAATGTAGTCCACAACATTGGTAGTGCCAAAGGTTGTCTACTATTTAAAAAATAACAAAATAAAAGGATACCTGACTGAATGTATCTACACTGAACAAAAATTATAAATGCAACACTTTTGTTTTTGCCCCCATTTTTCATGAGCTGAGCTCAAAGATATAAGATTGTTTCTATGTACACAAGGCATATTTCTCTCAAATATTGTTCACAAATCTGTCTAAATCTGTGTTAGTGATCACTTTGCTCTCCTTTGCCGAGATCCATCCACCTCATAGGTGTGACATATCAAGATGCTGATTAGACATCGGGGTGGTTGTAACCGACTTGAGTGGGTAAATGCTCACATTCGATGACGTCTGGCACTTTGGAGAGGTGTTCTCTTCATGGATGAATCCCGTTTTTCACTGTACAGGGCAGATGGCAGACAGCATGTATGGCATTGAGTGGGTGAGCGGTTTTCTGATGTTAACATTGTGGATCGAGTGGTCCATGGTGGTGGTGGGGTTATGGTATGGGCAGGAGTATGTTATGGACAACGGACACAGGTGCATTTTATTGATGGCATTTTGAATGCACAGAGATACCTGAGAACCATTGTTGTGCCATTCATCCACAACCATCCCCTTATGTTGCAGCTTGATATTGCACGCCCCCATGTTACAAGGATCTGTACACAATTCCTGGAAGCTGAAAACATCCCAGTTCTTGCATGGCCAGCATACTCACCGGACATGTCACCCATTGAGCATGTTTATGATGCTCTGGATCAGCGTATACGGCAGTGTGTTGCAGGTCCTGCCCATATCCAGCAACTTCGCACAGCCATTGAAGAGGAGTGGACCAACAATAAACAACCTGATAAACTCTATGTGAAGGAGATGTGTTGCACTGTGTGAGGCAAATGGTGGTCACACCAGATAGTGACTGGGTTGTGGATCCCCCCGGATATCCAATACAGTAAAACTGCACATTTTAGAGTGGCCTTTTTTTGTGGCCAGCCTAAGGCACACCTGTGCAATAATCATGCTGTCTAATCAGCATCTTGATATGCCACACATGTTAGGTGGTTGGATTATCTCGGCAAAGGAGAACAATATTTGAGAGAAATAGGCCTTTTGTGTACATAGAAAAAGTCTTAGACCTTTGAGTTCAGCTCATGAAAAATGGGGGCAAAAACAAAAGTGTTGAGTTTATAATTTTGTTTAGTGTATTTTGTAGCAAATTCTTGGAATATAATTCTACATTAGTAATGCTCTCTATAAACAGGAAATAGGTGAGTCCTTTCTTCCAACCCGGGCACTTTCCCAGAGAGTTGCTGAGTATGTGCTGTTGTATTACATCACTTATTTGCATGCTCAGTAATCTCTCATTTAAACAAATGAGAAAAACTGCACACAAACAACAAATTCAGTTGTGGCTTGTAATTTACCCCCACAAGCAATTCACATTCACTTTCCGTCACAGCAGATGTTAATGAACCTGATACTTTGTTGAGTATGAGAAAAGATCTTGCAGGGATTGATGGAGAGACTGATGTGCGGGCGATGGTGACAAAAATTCTTGCTCCTGATGGTTTTTCCTTAATACTTTCTCGTTTAAGATTCCTGCACTTTTGATGGCACTAACATACACTATTACAGAATATGTTGGAGTTACGTGAATAGCAGTGGCGTACACACAACCCATTGTGCGAAAACTGATCCGTGCCCCCCCCCCCCGCTTACTCTGTGCGGGCTGGGGCCGCAACACATGGCGGTGGGCACCCGGTCGCAGGGGTCGCATGCAGATACACATACACTTAAAGGACCACTACAGACACCTAGATCACATCAGCTCAATGAAGTGGTCTGGGTGCCAGGTCCCTCTAGTTTTAACCCTGCAGCTGAAAACATAGCAGTTTCTGAGAAACTGCTATGTTTCACTGAGGGTTAATCCAGCTTCTAGTGGCTGTCTCATTGACAGCCACTAGAGGAGCTTCCGCAATTCTCACTGTGAAAAATCACAGTGAGAAGACGCTGAACGTCCATAGGAAAGCATTGAGTAATGCTTTCCTGTGGGCGGTTTGAATGCCCTCGTGGCTCTTGCCGCGCATGCGCATTCGGAGCTGAGAGGCGGATCGGGGCGGTGAGATCCCAGTGGCGGATCCGGGGGGGGGGCAATTGCCCCCCCGAGATTCTCCCCTGCCGGCTAGTGCAGGGCTGGCATTGTCCAAGTGCCAGCCCTGCAATGTGCCTGCGGACCAGGGAAGGAGATCAGAGCTCTCCCTCCCCGGTCCGCAGGCACCGTGCTGGCAGCCGGCGAGGGAGGAAGAGAGGACCCGGGAGCTCAGTCTGCAGCTCCTCCGGGTCCTCCTCTTGCGAGCACGGAGCGTTGCCGTGGTGCTATGGGCTACAGTTCACTCCTACCACTGGGACCACCAATGAATCCCCACCGGACCACCAGGGACTAAGAAATGTCCCCCCTCCTCCCTCAATAAAGGTAAGAAGGGAGGGGGGACATAATGAATATTTATTTTATTAAATACATTTTTTTTTATTATTAAAAAGCCTCCCTCCCCTCCCCTCCTTCCTCCCCCATGCAAGCACTGCCCCATACACACACTACACACTGCCCCCATACACACACTACACACACTGCCCCCATACACACACTACACACACTCCCCCATACACACACTGCCCCCATACACACACTGCCCCACAAACACCGCCTACACACACACTGCCCCACAACACTGCCCCCATACACACACTACACACACTGCCCCCATACACACACTGCCCCACAAACAGTGCCCCCATATACTGCCCCCCATACACACACTACACACACTGCCCCCCATACACACACTGCCCCACAAACACTGCCCCCATACACACACTCCTCCAAACACACATACAGTGCCCCCCATACACACACTGCCCTAAACACACATACACTGCAAGCCTCACACACACTGCACCGCTCACACACACACGGCCCCACACATTCACTACCACCCTCACACACACACACACACACACACACACAGCACCCCTAACACATACCACTGCTCCTATGCCCTATATCGCAGCAGACCCCAGGTAAGTTGTCAAACTGTTCTTAAACGGTTTGACTACTTACTCTGGGATGGGATCCTGGCACTACTGGCACTATAACTACTACACTGAGCTGTAGTGGTTATTGTGCCTGGATTATCTCTTTAAATAATCTACAAGTGCCCCTCCCGAGATCAGGCTCTGGATCCGCCACTGAGAGATCCCCAGCTCCAAGGGAGTCCGGCGCTGGGGAAAGGTAAGTGCTTAAGACACACACACTCTCACGAACAGACGCATACACATTAGCTAACAGACACACTCTCACGAACAGACGCATACACACTAGCTAACAGACACACACATTTACTGACAGACACACACTCAGTGACAGACATACATACACACTCAGTGACAGACATACATACACACTCACTTACAAAACACACACTCACTAACAGACGCACACAAACTAACACACTCAGTAACACACACACACAACAACACACTCACTGACACTATAATACACACTAACACACACACACTAACACGAACACACACACACTAACACACGCACACTAACACTAACACACACACACTCTAACTCTAACACTAACACACAAACACACAAACTAACACACAAACACACACTAACACACACAGAACACAGCACTCAGTGCTCCATGGTGCGCCAGCCTGCCTGCCTGCCTGCCCGGTGATACCAGGGCCAGCCTCGGGGGCCCTGAGGTGGCCGGCTCCTGGGCTCCCCAGGAGAAGAGGCTGGCCACAGTGGCATACATACCCAGTATGTACGCCACTGGTGAATAGAATACATTACTGGTTTTATTAATATTATTAAAGGATCAACGTAGGCACTATAAACGTTTTGTCTCATTGGATTGGTTATAGTGCCTAGAGTCCCATGGCACTGCCCTTCCATTCAGTGTTGAACTGTTTTCAAGCAGATTAACACTGAATGAGGGTCTCCAACTACCCACAGGCCTGTCCCCACTGAAGAAATGGCTAAGGTAGATATTATATACTTCCTCCTATCCATGCCAATTCAAACCAGCAGTGGGTGGCAGTGATAGGCTGAAAGAGGTCAGCTAACTCTTTGCCAATCACCACTACCCATTGCTGCTTGGGCTAACGCTTTCTCATTATCCTGACACACAGAGGGGATGGGCTTCTGGGAACTCATGTTTAGCATTCAACTATTTGAAAATGTTTGAACACTGAACAAAAGTATGGTGCCAGGGGTCTCCTACAAAGAGGTTGTAGTTGTGTTTGACGTCATCATGCTGGGCATCATGATTCAACATGACAGCCTTTAAAACCCCAAGGCAATCAAGGGGAAATGCCTCTAGCAGCTGTCTGGTTAACAACCAATAGAGGCATTCTTATTGACAAATGTAACAACTGCAGTTTCTAACAAACGGTAATGCTTACATTTGTCAGACTGCAGGGCAGCATTTATGCACTTTGGTGAGCTGTCTGTTTTCGTAAATAAATACTACAGTCTGGGACATTGTGAAATTTGTATAAAATGTGAATTTCTGTAAAACAGTCTGTTCTTTATTTGGAATATAAATCTTAGATGCGTTCTATTAAATGCAGTCTATTACTACAAACAACTTGCGTTTTTCTGGCAAAGGGTACATAAACTGTACTACACTGCAGAATCTAAATGGAGCATTGATTTGCAGAAGAGCTGGAAGGACATGTTAGGTGATTTCCTAACTAAATGAAAATGTAATTTAGAAGAAGATCCAAATGTACACATATGTTATTATTATTGGGAACTCCTGATTGTTGTGACTACATCTTCTATAGTAAAGGGAGTATAGACATAATGCTGACAAAGCATCGAGGAAGATGTACTGAAGCTCTCAACATTTTGGAGGTTGCCTACCCTATTTTGATCTGCTACACAATAGACCACAATAACCGAACCGGAAGCATAGATGATTTGGAGAGTTTTTCCAATTCAGCTATTTTGACCTTAAATTTGAAATTAACTTTGAATTCCAACAACTCTTACATGACTGAATAACCTAGTGTGGGTTTCATAGCTTTATGACTCTGTTATAAATCTACTTTTGTGAAAAGGAACAGAGGGGTTTGAATACAAAAACCTTTCTTGCTGGAGATTTGGGTTGAGACTTTATGTATGCCAGTATGAATGAATGTATGTCTGTGTATGTATGTGTATGTCCTCATGCATGTGTCTGTATGTATGTATGTTAGTATGTGTCTATCCGTCACTATGCATGCCTATGTGTCTGTATATGTGTGTATGTCTCAGTATGTGTGTGTGTCAGTATGTATGCCTATATGCGTGTATGTCTGTTTCAGTATGTGTGTCTGTTAGTATGTATCTGTGTCCTTTTGTATCAGTGTGTGTTTTTGTGTCTGTGTGTGTATTCCTGTGGGCGGGATTTGGAGGCGGACCATGTGGGCAGGACTGGAGGCGGGCCCCAGGGGGCCCAGACCCTGAGCTGAGGTAGGGGCCCCAAAAGCAGGCTGTTGTGGTTATGGTATTTGGAATGTTACTTTAAAAATTCAGTAGTGATTTTTCAGTCTAGTGGTGAATTTGAAAAAATATTTCTCAGACAAGGGATCACTAACAGACACAGTATCACTACAAAAGTTGTAGGAATTATTCACTCAAACCAAGAACCAAGGACATCAAATAAAACATTTTCTTAATTATTAACTGTTCCCAGCCTCCCGATTCCAAAGCTGTATGATTTTGCAGCAAGTTCAAAGAATTTTATTTGCTAATAGAAAACAATCCAAGCTGATGTTTCCAGTGTTGGGAATATGTAACAGACATTAGGGATACATTTTTACTCTAGAGAAAGCTGTCCTGTTCTGTGAATTATTACTGAAAGTATTTATAATATTCCAGATGTTTGAAAGAAGTAAAAAAATAAATAATAATTAAAAAAAAAGTATCAAAGCTTGAGGCATTCTTTCTACAACTGGACATATTTTTGGTGCTTTGTTTCTTTTTTATTTTATTTTTGTCAATTCGGTTGTTTTTATATATGTTCCTATTGCCTCATTGATTATATTGTATGGCTTGGATTTAAATAACAAGTCAAAAGAAAAAAATATATAATAGTGTGGTTCATGCAGTATTTTTTTTTTTTAAACTCTGATACACTTCCTAGGCTGTAACATTCTGCAGGACTTAACGGATTGACCTTCACCGTTGTAAGTAGCAATACACAGTAACAAAGTGTTCAATGCTTCACAAGGTTCTATTTTATTTAAAAACAAACATTTATTTTAATTTATTTTAAAACATTCTTTAATATAAAAAGCAGACAATGCAGAAAGACTCACATTATCTCTGTGAAAATGCCACAGCGGAGAAAAACTACACGTTTTGCGTAAACATACTTAATCAAGCTCAAAAAGTACATTTACATGAAACGCATGATGTATTGAAGAATATTTTCAAACTAGTTGAAATAAATGTATGTTTTTTAAAGGACCACTATAGTGCCAGGAAAACATACTCGTTTTCCTGGCACTATAGTGCCCTGAGGGTGCCCCTACTCCCCGGGCTCTGGGGAGAGGAAAGGGGTTAAAACTTACCTTTCTCCAGCGCCGGGCAGGGAGCTCTCCGCCTTCGATCCTCCTCCTGGGCTGAATGCGCACGCGCGGCAAGAGCTGCGCGCGCATTCAGCCGGTCTCATAGGAAAGCATTTACAATGCTTTCCTATGGACGCTTGCGTGTTCTCACAGTGATTTTCACAGTGAGAATCACGCAAGCGCCTCTAGTGGCTGTCAATGAGACAGCCACTAGAGGATTTGAGGGATGGATTAACCTTATCATAAACATAACAGTTTCTCTGAAACTGCTATGTTTATAAAAAAAATGGGTTAACCGTAGCTGGACCTGGCACCCAGACCACTTCATTAAGCTGACGTGGTCTGGGTACCTAGAGTGGTCCTTTAATGAAAAAATACCTTGTGAAGCATCAGAAACCTCCTTATTGTTACTATATTAAATAAGTAGTACCTTAGGGCAAGACTGGGGAAAAAATTCAGTTAGGACTTTTAAAGGCAGAACAGGATAAGGCAGGGACAGAGACAGGTTTGGTGTGTCATTCACCCCTGCCCCTCAAATTAGACATGTTAGTTTTGGGCTCCTCCAGGACAGCATGCAGAGAGCCCTGCTAAAGAGCTTTGGTACTATCACATAGGGAAAATACCTTTTTTTATGCTAAAGTACTTTAAATGACACACTTGTAGTAACACTATAGTATTACTCAGCAATGGAACTTTCATTTTTACTTTAAACATAAAAGCAAACAAAATGTCTGTGTATATATATCCATTTGTGGGTCAAAACGTTGCAGTGTACCTTCTGTCCTAATACATTTGCCTGAAGCTGTTGGAGTGCCTGGACCTCTTTTCCATCTCTGGTATCTACAGTTGATGGGATTCTCCTGGTAAATGATCCAGTTTAGCACCTTTGCTTTTTGTGGATTGAGTGCGATTCCTATGAATACATTGTATATATATAGTTAATACAATGCTAAACAAAAATCTGCACACCAGTCAAGCCATAAGACTTGCTTTTCCCACAGAAATCCCAAATCAGCAGTGATGTTACAACCGCAAAGGATTCTGGGTGGGCATATGCAAATTAGTTTAACAAAGAATCACATTTTTGCCTCATTCCATTTTAAACATGGATTCCTTTTAATTTGTGTTTGCAGTATACAACTGCTTGGAACACAATTTAGGATAAGATGCAAAACCAGTGAACCACTCATGGACAGCTGTTTCGTTGTTAATGCAACTCTTCAGCATGAGGTTGGTTACTGGTTTGCTTAGTAAGGCTTGGTAGTGCTTGGGAAGCAAAATTCAATAAGGTTATGGTGGGGAAAAATTGTGATTGAAAACCCCTTCCACCTGAAGTATGTGGATAGTTAATACAATGCTAAACAAAAATCTGCACACCAGTCAAGCCATAAGACTTGCTTTTCCCACAGAAATCCCAAATCAGCAGTGATGTTACAACCGCAAAGGATTCTGGGTGGGCATATGCAAATTAGTTTAACAAAGAATCACATTTTTGCCTCATATATATATATATCTCTATTAAAAAAATACACAATAGGGAGAGGGGAATGATAAATTGAATTGGAGTGTACAATGGGATTGTAGCAGGAAAATTAGTTCTACAACAACCACCGGTAATATGGGGTGACTACTTTATAGTATAGAAGTTATATACCAAATATGAGTAATGAGTTCTCAGATACTCTTACAGGAAATGTCCACAGAACCAAAACCTTTATTCAATAAACAGTAACCACTGATACCAGGCTGCCCACTCTGTCACAAAGTTAGGAGGTTTGTAAAAGTAATGTGATTTTAGTATTTATAGGTGTGAGTAATGCAGTGCAAGTGTAAGTGAAAACACACTTCCTTAATACTTCTTTATATAAGGAAAACATAATTGCCCCATGGTGCATTGGGCAGGCTGGTGTATGTGCAGTGAAATGCCAAATGAGCACATGTGCAACGCTGGAATTGTTTCCATAGTGTCGTATTTGCATGGGGTGTGCTTTGGGTGTATAAATGTAAATTAAAAATAAAAAAAAATATTGAGAATTTAAAAATACATAGCACAATCCCTTGCTAACAGTGAAGACAGTTTTGCTGGAATCAAAATATATATTTAACCAGACAAAGCATATGGCCATGACAAGTTACTTATTAAACAATATTTAATTAAGAGCATGTTCAATAAATAAAACGACATGAAGCTGATGGACAAATTCCTACGTGAAAGAGCAGGACTATCCGTCAAACATTAATCATTAGCGACCAGTAAAACATGTATTAATTCATGCAAACAAGCTAAAAAAATTAAAAAGCATGTGCAAGATAAAAAAAAAAGTAAATCATTCCCTTCCTGACATGGGATTAGACAAATCTCATGGCAGGTCTGGCAAGTCGTCAATCATGAAGGGGTTAAGTTGATTTTTTTTTTTTATGTGCTTAAAGACTTTTTCTAGTAAGAATTAACTATTGGTGCTCTGGAAAACAGTGATTACTCCACAAATTATTTTATTTGTAATAACAGGAGAAAAAAACCATAATCCAAATATTCATATGCAGAAACGTGCTGCTTGAGTTGACACTTAGATGCTACTTTAGGGTGGCTCCTAATTAGTATTTGCTAATGAAACAACTCCCCCACAGTGGTTCTGCTTGTTAAATTAGGCCTTCTGTGTTCCTTTCAGAAGGCTGCAACAAAGGGAACAAGAAATAAACAGAAACCTATAAAACAGAAAGAGGGATCGGGAACAAGAAAAATTCTCAAAGAATTGGCAGAATACGAATGCCACTGATGACAAAAGGCAGGGTTCTGCTGACATAGGACAAGGACATATCCATGTTCTGTGTCCATCAAGACAATAGAAGACCATAGTTACATAGTTACATAGCTGAAAAGAGACTTGCGTCCATCAAGTTCAGCCTACCTCACATTTGTTTTTTGCTGTTGAAGGCAAAAAAAACCCAGTTTGAAGCACAATTTTGTAACAAGCTAGGAAAAAAATTCCTTCTTGACCCCAGAATGGCAGTCAGATTTATCCTTGGATCAAGCAGTTATTACCCTACATTGAATACCCTACCATAAATAAAGAATTGTAGCTCCCGGCTCTACAAGAAGCTGTGCCCGGCTGACCCCAGGTAAGTTGTTAAACTATCCATAAACGGTGTGACTACTTATCCTGGCAGGGTTCCATGGCACTTCTGGCACCATAACCACAACACTGAGTTTAACCCCAAAAAAGTAAGATGGGACCACTGCTGGATTACCCTCCCCCAATATCCCATTACTTCTTACCATTATATAGGAGCTGGGATAGGTGGGAGATTTTAATGTACTGACCAAGTCAATGTAAAACAGAGAGGGTTTGGGTGGGGTACATATTCTTGTACAAGAGTCCCCATGTACAGGAATTTGTCGGTCAAGCTGCAAGGCATTAATTTAAAAAATAGTCTTGAAGGATAAGGAACAATTTGCTCCTCTATGTAAAGTGTAGATAGTGATAAAGTATTCATGGAACAACGGAAAAAAAAGAACAAGAAAAACGAGATTTCAATGGGATTGTAATTGAATCAACAAGGGATTACAGT